ACCAAACTAACAATAATACTTCTTCAGAGTAACAACATTTCAAGGCTTGAGAAAGACCTTACCCTGTGGATCCCTTAGCTCATAAAGACCTTACCCGGTCATCACTCCTATAGCTCTTTCCTCATGACTTTCTATCTTCTGGTCGGTGCCTGTCATGTGCATCAAAATCAACTTCCGTTTCCTCCATATTCATATACCTGGTGCACCTTTCCAACAACTCGTCATAAGATCGAGCGGGCTTCTTAGCCAGTGAATTTCTGCAGTGCCCCGCTTTCAATCCCCTCGTCAACCCACCAGCCTTTATCTCCTCAGTCGCCGAAGGGACCTCTACGCACGCGCGGGTAAACCTAGCCACGTACTCCCTCAAGGATTCATGCTCCCACTGCTGCATGTTCATTAGGGACATATACGTCTTCTCGTGTTTAATTGCACTAGAGAACTGATTGATAAATAGCGAGCTAAACACGTCAAAACTGTGGACAGATCCTGCGGGTAACTGATGGAACCAGTCCTGTGCCGGACCCTTCAAGGTTGTCAAAAAGGCTCTGCAACATACGCCATCGTTATACCGATGCAAGACCGCAACATTCTCAAAACTCCGCAAATGCCTTGCCGGATCTGAGGACCCATCGTAATATATACTCGGCTCCCTGAAACTGTGAGGCAGATCGGCACCCAAAACGTCATTGGTGAAGGGATGACCCTGCATCCTGAGATGTCGCTTGCCTTCCACCCTTGCTTGGAGCTCTTTTATTTGATTAGCCATCTGCTCCATCAGCGCATCCCTGGACGCCCTCGGCACCACTGGCGATATCACTGATCTCTCCTCTTGATCATCTCTGCGGTGACTACCGCCCCTTAAAGGCCTAGATATCCCGGGGACATGCTGCTCGACCCTAACAATTGGTCGCTCCATGGCCACAATAGGTCGTTCCACCACTTCAGCGGACCGTTCCGCCTCCACAGCCGACCTTTCTATCATGGTGGTATGCTTCTCCTTCATCGCCGCGTCTCGTGCAACCAACGCCCGACCTACCGCCTCTGCGACGATGCAATCCAATTCTTCTCTAGTCATCTGCATCTTTGGTTCTCCACCTTCTGGTACCGCCTCTGGCACCGATGCCCGTATTACTATCTCTTGGCCCGCTCCTTGGGTCATCGATCCCTTCTCCTGATCCGACGGGGGAACAAGGGGTACCCCTTGTATCGTAACAGGGGGAGTAGTCATCGAGC